TCTTGCAGGACCTTGGACACCAACCACTGGACAATAAGAGACGTTAGACCACATCTCGTGGCAGTCACCCATGACCTGAAACTCCCTGCATTGATCGAGGAATTCCTTGGCCCAGCACAGATGTATAAAACTTTCATCTACAACTATATTCAGGGACGTACGCCTTCCAAATGCAATATTGAAACAACAAAGGTGAGAATATTTACTGAGGTTAAAACTTTTAGTATCCTCCACCCGTTTTAACATTACTCTGATTTAGCCACAACATAAGACACTTTTAATAAAATTAATTTTGTTCGTTATTTTTTGGCAAATTATATATATATTTATTTAGCCGGTACATTTTTTATTGTTTCAGGTGAGGACGTATGACGGTGTGAGTTTCCCATATCAGGCTGACAGCTGTTGGGTAACCGCTGTCCTGAGTCATTCAGGAGCAGAAGAGACACAGTCCTATGATTATGTTATCTCAGTTCGCTTCACAGAAGAGTGGGAAGTTCGGGTTCTGTGGCCCTGGGCTGGATTTAACTACGATATCACCAAATCCGTACTGCTGGTAGGTCCACTTTGCAGTAATCGCTTAGTTCATCCTGCTAGTAAGTTCAGTCTGAAAAAATCTCTGCCGCACTGTTTCAGATGCATGAAATTTTATAATAATTGTAATATGAATATCAAAATTGAACATCCTGTAATGTCCTACACCTTCCATTCACCCCAGATTTATACACCCTCTGAATCAACCGATCTTGCTCCACTCATTCAAAATGGCCAAACCATCTGGACAACTTCTCCATTCTGTGGACTATACCTTTCTTCACTTCTCATTCAAATCATATATTAATCACAAGCACGACATGTCTGCTGCGTCCAGCAATAACACACAGAATTTCAAGATTTTGTGACCAGAAATTTTTGCTTCATGAGATAGAGCAGTGTAGTTGTTGTAACAAAATGAGTACAAATAGTTTCTGCTTTTATAAACAGGTGAACGGTGAGGAACTCAAGAAAGGAGACAAGTTTGTTAATTTCATTCAGCAAGAGACGGGCAGTCTGGTCATTTTCAAGCGCCTTGGATTTTTGATCGTAATCTCTGACAAGCTTACAATTGGGGTAAGTGTTTAATGACTATACAAAACATTTTTATAGGTAATTATACTAGAAGAGCAGTTGTGCTGAGCTGCAAGACATGAGGGAATGTTAGAATTTAAAATGTCGAAAACAAGAGTGGATATATTCAGCAGGTGTTCTAAATTAACCCCATAGTTTGACTTACGTAACAAAAAAGGCACAATACCGTAACTGGAACGATACACAAATAACCCCCAAATAGAAGAGAGGAGCTTAGGACGGCGTTTCGGTCCGACTTGGACCATTTACAAAGTCGTAAGCTCTTCTCTTCTATGTGCGGATTGTGTATAGTTTGACTTGCCATGCTCTTTTATCTACTTGGTGGAATCTTTCTATTAATGTCTCATCATTGACACCTTTGCACTCCCATAAGCCAGATTCTGGCTTATGGGATTGCAAAGAATCTCCAGGAATGGTTCCACCCATGTTCTGAGCTCTTCACAAGAATACTAATTTTCTTTAAATTACAGAATACACCTCACGGTCAACTTACAACACCTGGCCGTGAGATGTAATCTCGTCCTATATACCTTTCTGTCGGTCTTTCATTTTTTACAGTTCCTTGATGTGAGAAATCATGAAAGCGCTTGAAAGTTCACTATTCTTTTCATAGTGGTTGTTTTTCATATATATATATATATATATATATATATATATATATATATATATATATATATATATATATATATATATATATATATATATATATATTGTTTCGTTCACATGTAGTGAAGTTTGTCATGTGAATGTAGCGTCGTGTTTTTTCTATAGATAAAAGTTCTTTAATATTCTTAAGTCTTTTTACAAGTCTATTGTTTCGTTCAAAAGTTGGTGCCTTCTGTAATACCATTTGTCAGTTCTGGTATTAGTGTTATAAACAAGTACCCGACACTACTCTTGCCAGAATAGAAGCTTACAACCAATTTTCTTTCTTCCTTCTAGAGCATATCAGATATTACCCATGGTTCAATAGACTAGGTTCTATTACAGCGGTCGAACAGCAGGATAAGTTTCTCAGCTCCAGTTATCAATTTCTACTAGTAGTTATTATGTATCAATGCCAGAAATTATGAAAGTGTCTGCCTTTCTAGCCTCTAATCATAAGTTACTTAAAAATAAGTAACGTTGTGTACAGTGAAGTACATTTCTATTTATTTTTTTTCCTTTCTGTCTTTTGTGAAAAGTAAAATATATTCTGTTAATCTTCTTTTTCTTTGCTTCATTCTGATAACTCTGAATGATTTTATCATTTTATTAGTGAGGAAGCACTAAACCTTGGGAACAGGATTGGTTACAATAATTAGTTTTGATTCGAAGGTAGGGGATCCTTCAATTTCTGGAATCAAGAGCCCCTCACAACAGGGAAGGGTCTTCCATTAAGTTTGTTTAATTAATTTTAAACACTGAATGCATTTGGGTCATGCACCCCCAAGAAGTGGTCGAGGCTTCATTGTCGTCAGCACTTTTTTTTTTTTTTTTTTTTTTTTGCATCTTTCAGGCTCGAACCAACATCTGGATTTCTTAGATTTTAATTTATTAAGATATCGTAATTTTTACTTACTGCCTAGAAGATGTGGCTCATGAAAGTGATATTTGATAAAAATGACTTTGTCAATCAAGATTTAGTATTGTTCTGAGTTAAGGGATTAGCAAATGGTGTACTTTGCAGAAGCCAAACGAGTTAATAGGAAACATCAACGGTCTGTGTGGTAGACTGGACGGGGAGAAGAGACACGACCTGGTGGGACCCACTGGCTGCATCTTCACCAACCCGAGTCTCTTCGCTCTGTCCTGGACCACTCAAGGTGAAGGCTGCTCCCTCTTTAGTCTACGATCAAAGAAGCGAGGCGTAACGCAGTACCAGGAGGCATGTCCTCGTGAGGACTACATCCCCACCGCAGTGTCTCATCCCAATGGTAAGTTTGTCAGTCTCGAGCACCATTGTTCTAACAATGATTTAAATCTATAAATTAATTCAGAAAGCGTAGTTCACGTACAGATTATTTTTTAAGCAAATCATCGATGTTGAACATGAGAATATTAAAATCATGTGCAATATTTGGAGACGCTTTTAAGAAACCTCCGCTCTTCAGGATGTTTTCATTCCAATGATTGAAAAAATCATAGTGAGAGGAACTCATCTTAATAAAAGATTTCAAATGTTGCACGTGTCTAATGGGTACATTTGTAGGTACTATATATTTTCTACGATACAGTGCTAAACATGGAGAACGAACGGTAATGTGGAGCATCATGAATCTTAAATATCATAAGAAAATGTATCGCATATAAAACGTTTTTCTTACCTTGCAGTTGTGTATGACTGCACGCAATGGGAGTACAAGGAGCGCACCGTCGGAAATCTTATATGTGACGCCATTGAGCCAACACCATCTTGCAAACCTAACTGCAAGAAAACGAGGGACATCAGCAAAGATGTAAGTACCGTTGACTCGTGGAAGTCATGTAAACACTAGGGAACTGGAGGTAATTATGTTTGATCCAAGGAAGAGAAGTGTAGTTCCAATTACCATAACCCATTGTTACATAACAACAACGTAATATTCATAAATATTTATACCACCCAGTACGTACTGTGATGTACAGTATATTTTAACAGTAGATGTAGCAAAATTGGCATAAAAAACGGAAGAAAGATGAATACAAGTATCGCTGTTATATTTTTATATACCATTTATTTTATTTTATCAAATACAGTATGAGCATATAGCTAATGTGATATTAATGTGACGTTAATAATAATAGCAATTGTTATTATTATTATTAGTAGTAGTAGTAGTAATAGTAGTAGTACTAGTAGTATTAGTAGTAGTAGTAGTAGTAGCAGCAGTGGTAGTACAAAAAGAATGAATGATTTTACAATAGGATCACTATATTTGATTTTTATGTATTTAATACTGAATATTTTATACAAACATCTGGAATGCAGAATGAACCCATGTTATTACATCCACTTTTTTTACTTCTCCAGCTTAACTACGACTGTAAGAAACTAGTATCTACCCAGACTGAAGCTTATTGTCAGCAAAGTCAGGGAAGAAACCTCACCAGGGAGTGCCACCCACACACCCTGCTTACCACCTACCCCGCCTCCTGCGTGCCTCAGTGATAAGCACGTCACCACCTTCTCCGCCTCCACCTTCTGCGTGCCTCAAGTGATACACGCTGGTCAACCACTTCGCCTCCTGCGTTCCCCAGTGACAACTTAGATGCCATCTATCAGACCTTCGTGATTCCGCTAACCTACTCGGCCATCTGCATGCCCTAGAGTGACATAATACCCAAGTTATTGTTGAATTGTGCCTCCGAATAGGTATACTTTCGCAATCATGACAATGAACGAGTGTCACCCGCCCACCCATCCATTCACTCACATTTTACATCAAACATACTGCTTCTCCGCGTGTCTCAGCTTGAGTCTCACAAGGATCTTGCATCACACGGGAACTTATGTACTACCTAATTGGTTCATTCCATCTCATATTTGTTTTAAGAGATATAATCATTTTAATGTTGTCTTTTTTCTTTAGCTTTCACCTTCCTTTTGTGAGTTTTGCATTTGATGCTTAAGCAAGAAACTTGTCTGCATTAACGTGAGGGAGTTAATGCAAGAGAGAAAATATAAAATGGATGCTCAATTTTCACTTATTCTCCGTTTCTTTTTCTTTCCATTTTCTTTGTAATCGTTCTCTGTGGGTATCATAGTTATTTCTTTGACTGTGGTCATCATAAACTATAAAGTTATTATCTATTAAGATACTTTCAACAAGCAAAAAACTACTTAATCTTTATTCTCCTTATTCACTACTGAATAGCTCTTTTTCTTAATAATAAAAGGAATAAAATCAAAAGTATTTTTACTGAACACGTATCCCTACATAAATTTTAAAGTGAGATACTGTGACTCTCTGATCGCGGGTTCTATCCACGTTCGTGGTATGGTTTTTTTTAGATACTGGAGAGAGAGTGAGTTCGTATGAGCACATGGAAAGGACTCAATACAATCAGAAGCCCTAATTTCTCAGTAGTACTGTCCGGTCATGAGTATTTAAATCTGTTTAAATCTGTGGTTCTTAACCTATTTGTGTCTCACCTCCCTCAATCCTTCATAAAAATAATTATAAATGTAAATATTATAAAAAATCCTCTTTAAATAGGATATTTGAGAATTTAGTTTTCATTCTAAACATAATTTTTAGCTATTGAAAAGAGTCTGTTTAAAGAGCAAACCGCAGATACGCAACATATAAACCACGGTACGGGTAGGGTTTGAAACTATAGCAAGTGAGTCGTCAAACTCTAGGCTAGTGAATCATTTGTTAAACTGGCCTCTGTAGAGAAGCAAAGCCAACGTGCTGCTCAGAATATTCAATTATACAAACATTATTATTATTAGTAGTAGTAGTAGTAGAACTATTATAATATTTAATGAATAATGGTAAACCCCAAATGTGTCATACATCACAGAGGTAGCCTTAGTTATTAGGGCAGGAGTTAATAAATTTGAGGGTTAGTAAAGATTGATAATTAGTATCACATGTTACAATACCTGGTTTTCTAAAGACATCTTACTTTTGATGTCAGTGAGAAACACATTACGGGTCAGACTTTACCATTGCTGCCATATTATTATTGTCAAGCAGTCACTTAACTTCTTTCTCTCTGTAATTTCGTTTCTGGTTATTCTCCTCCTTTCTCGTTTCACTCTTTCTAGTTCGCTCATACGTTTCTACTGTGTTTCCATCTCTGAAACTTTGATTGAACCACCAATCTCCTGTTTCTTATTTTCTTCTTCCTCTCCCTCCTGACGTGTGTGTGTGTATGTGTGTGTGTGTGTGTGTGTGTGTGTGTGTGTGTGCACTTACCTATTTGTGGTTGCAGGGGTCGAAACATAGCTCCTGGCTCCTCCTCTTCGCTGGTCGCTACTAGGTCTACTCTTTCTCTGCTGCGTTTGTGTATATTTATGTGTGTTAGGTACCAGATGTCAAAGGCACTTGCGTGTGTGTGTGTACTCACCTATATGTGGTCCAGGGGTCGAGTCATAGCTCCTGGCCCCGCCTCTTCACTGGTCGATACTAATTCACTCTCCCCCTGCTCCATGATATTTGTCATACCTCTTCTTAAAGCTATTTATGGAACTTGCTTCCACTAGTTCACTCTCCAGATTATTCCAGTTCCTGACAACTCTAAGACTAAAGAAATACTTCCTAACATCCATATGACTCATCTGGGTTTTCAGCTTCCAATTGTGTCCCCATGTTTCTGTATCCCATCTCTGAAACTTTCGATCCTTGTCCACCTCGTCAATGCCTCTTAGTATTTTATACGTTGTTATCATGTCTCCTCTATCCCTCCTATCCTCTAGTGTCATCAGGTTGAGTTCCCTTAACCTCTCCTCATAAGACATACCCCTCAGTTCCGGGACTAATCGTGTTGCAAATTTTTGCACTTTCTCCAGTTTCGTGACGTGTTTGACTAAGTGAGGGTTCCATAGTGGCGCTGCATGTTCCAGTATAGGCCTTACGTACACTGCGTACAATGTCGTGAATGACTCCTTACTCAGATGTCTAAACGCCAATCTCAGGTTTGCCAGTCTCCCATATGCTGCAGCAGTTATTTGATTGATGTGTGCCTCAGGGGGCATGTTCGTTATAGTGCTTACCCCAAGATCCTTTTCTTTAACTTACGTTTACTGCTGTTGGTTTCCTAACCTGTACTCCGTCTGCGGTCTTTTGTGTCATTCCCCAATCTTCATGACCTTACACTTACTTGGGTTAAACTCCAGGAGCCATTTGTCGGACCATACTTGTAGTTTGTCCAGATCCCCTTGTAATCTTAACTGATCCTCGCCCACTTATATTCTCTTCATCAGTTTCACATCATCAGCGAATAGTGACACTACTAAATCTATTCCTTCCACCATGTCATTCACGTATACAAGAAACAGCACTGTGTGTGTGTGTGTGTGTGTGTGTGTGTGTGTATGCTCACCTACAGTATACACTCACCTATCAGTGATCGTTACTAGGTTCATTCTCACATGGTTTCGAGAGCTTTACGGGGGGATGGCATACGGCATCGGAAAGTATTGAGAAAATCTCAGAAAAAAATTATGAAAATGAGTTAAGTTTACAGGAAAATCGCCAAAGAATGTGGGAATATTTTGGTGTAAATCCCTTTTCCGTAAGATAATTCAAGTGAATTCATCGCAATTACAAGAAGGACCCATGTGGTAATATTACATTTTACCAATATTATTTTTTTCATAATCTTTCATGTATATTTGCGCTAGTTTTATGAAAAAATATTCACTGGCATCTGTACAACAGTAGAGCGATCACATCACCACCATGACACCAGCAAGTCTTCAGTGATGCTCTGGCCAGAGAGGAGGTGTGATGATGTTGTTCCCAACGGGCGACTTTTAAACACTTATTTTTCGTTCTCAGTGATCATGAATAAGAAGAAGAGAAGGGATAGAGAAGCAATCCTTGATGTAAAATAAAGAAAAATAATATAACAAATATTATGGGTTGGCAAACCCATGATGGATCAACTGACATCTCACAGCACTCACACTTCTTGATACTGCAAGAACTAAAATATGCTTCCCATACTTCACGAAGATGGTCCTAACACCTAACTTTACTCTAAATTAATATATTAAGGAAATATATTCAGGAAACATTGGCAAAAATCTGATTAAATATTGGCAATGCTCCTATTCATTTACCTTCACATGCAGAATTTTTGGAAATTTTCCTTGTAATATCACAAATTATTTTTGTGGGGAGAATAAATAACGTGAATTAAAAAAGTAACACCAAGTAAATATATATAAATTGGCATTGGAAAAATGACCAAACTACCTCTGACTTCGCCCTTATTTATGTCTTGAGACACAAAAATATTGCAAACAATTTTTTTTTTATTTTTGGTGCCGATTTTAATAAAACATGGTATACCTCTTAATTACATATACCTGACACTCAAAAAAATGAATAAAATCGTACTACAAGAAAAACAAAGTTGGTTACCATAGGCTACCACCCCTAATCGTACCTCTTAATTAATCCTATGTATGGGTTCTGGCTCAACCACTTCGTTCTCCAGGTCGTCCCATTGCCTAACTAGTCTAAGATGGGAGAAATACTTCATAACATCTCTGTGACTCGTAAGTGGATTAAATTTTCAGCTGTGCCGTCGTGTACTTGCTTCCAGTTTCTCAACCAATCTGTCTGTGGTCCACTCTATCAATTCCTCTCAGTATTTTGTATGTTCTTATCACATCACCCCTAGTGTGTGATTACCTATTAGTAGTTATCTATTTATAGCTACAGTAGCAGAGGTATGTTCGTGGTGTCCCATCTTCAGTACTCTGTTAATTTTTTTTTTAAATTCCAATGGTTTTAGCATTTACTACTTACAGAAGTATTCCAAGGCTTGGATGCGGTTAGTGGATCTTCGCCTGTCCACTGTGTGACAACTGTTAGCCTTGGTGAGGAACGTTGACTCTACTAGCCCCTTGTTACTGTTACTGGGGGAGTATAAGAGAGAGGGAGAGAGAAAGAGAGAGAGAGAGAGAGAGAGAGAGAGAGAGAGATGGAAGCTCAATGACAAGATTCCCCTCATTTGCAAAAAATAAATGTGAGACATCCACTATAACGGCTTTGCAAGAGGAAATCTCACCCACTTTTATGCACATATGGATACACGTTTTGCTTATCCACTTGTGATTAAATCGCCAATACACTTTCCTGGCGAAAATCTCTGTTAAATAGTGATAGGATGAGTGGAGCCCTTTAAATTGTTATACTGAGCCGACTACTAACTGCTTGGGCACTGGGTGGATGGATGTATGGCTGGATGATTGGATAGCGGGGTAATTGGATGGATAGGGAAAGGACTTCGCCACTCTGGTTTTAATTTCGCGTGTCTGGACAGTGAAAGGGGTAAACAAGAGTTTGCTGGAGTATGTCTACCTTGAATAAAAAGAATTATCTTGGATCCAACGTGAATAACTAAAAATTTGCCTGCCAATGTAATTCATTATCTTAGTAACTGCTATATTATATTCGTATTATTGTATACATTCTGTAGAATATATTCAATAATAAATATACACTAACGTATATACACAGAGGGATGTACATGTATATCTCAGCATATATATACTGGGAGTTTGCTTTAATTCTTACTTCACGAAGTAAGTTTTCTTGATTGGATGTGTACAGATTATATGTAGGTGATGACACTCGTGTTGTCGATAAGCTTTAACGCTAAGAGCACCATAAATCCAAGAAATTTTAATTATTATTATTAGAAGTAGTGCTAGTAGTAGTAGTAGTAGCAGTAGTAGTTGTAGTAGTAATAGTAGCAGTAGTAGTTGTAGTAGCAGTAGTAGTAGTAGTAGCAATGCTTTATTATTATTATTGTTAATAGTATTATTATCAGCATTATTAGTATTAGTATTACATTCATGGGGAAACGTTAAATCCGTAGTGTCGTATAGCACTTGTTTAATGGGAGATAATTAGGGCTGTTCAAAAAAAGATTACAGTAGCTCCAATTTCTTGGATCAAGAGCCCTTAACCAACATGAAGGGAGCTCGTTCGGAAGACATGACATTATTCGATAATGAATCTGCTATAAGGTAGGCGTACTGTACTCCTTAGAGCATAGGCGAGAAAGATACACAATAATCTACACCTGGAATATACTGGAGGGATTAATCTCAAATCTGTACACTGAATTTATTGATTATTATAACAAGAGGCTTGGAAGACTGTGCAGGATACCTTAAGTGAAAAGCGTGAGGACGATGAATACATCGAGAGGGAACTCAGTAATT